CCAAAGCATTACACTATGTAAATGTTCTACCTAGCATTGGAATATCTAGCAGCTCCAAATTATCAATCAAATCACTGAAATCCTTTATTCTTCTATCCCTTTTCAAGCACCTTTTCCTTTCACTCATAAATCTAATTTCATTAAAATCCCCTTCTACACACCAAGGTCTTAAAAAAGTAGATTTAAGCTTCACTAAAGACTCCCATAGCTGTCTTCTTTTCAATACTTCATTTGGTGCATAAATGTTTACAATAACACAATCAAAAGAGTGGTGTGAAGTACCTGACAATATAATGAAGTTTCTATTACTACAACACTCCTTTAATAGAAAGATTTATGGATTCCATACGCATAGCATGCTTTCAACACTACCCTTTGCACTAGTCTCCATGAAATCCATCTCCTTACATGGTCATAGTGACTTGACAAAGTTTTCATCAACACTATCTATTTGTTTTGTGCAACTGTAGTACATCAATATTTCTATCCCTAACCAAAGTATTTATTTTTCTCCTCTTTTCAGGCCTTCTTAGACCTCTTACATTCCAAGATAATATCTTCATAAGGAAACTACTAACATACACCAAACCTCCTAGTACTAACCAAATTGGCTTAGGAAACTATACCTGCACCTTCCATTCTTTCTAGGTCATTTTCTTCTAACTCAATTATTTTGCTTACCACCACCTCTTTATTGCCTTTACTATTCAGCCAAAAAATTTTCCCAACTTGAACTGTAGCTTGTGCTTCATTTAAAAACTTCCTCATTCTCTTTGAATCTATACTCTGCGAAACTGATAATGAAATTGCAGCAGCTGTTACTCGAAATATAGCTCTATTTTGAAGGTAATTGCTGAATAGCACACCTTTGTTCTTCACTTGCTTTTTGTTTAGCTTTCCCATTTTCTTCATTCAAGCTCCTTTCCTCATACTTCGATTGGTGTCTTTGTAGCACTTGTGTCCTCTAAACTATTGGAGAGTATGTTTAATTCCTTTATTTTCATTTTGGGAGCATTAGAGTTTTTGTATCTTGGTTTTGGAGGAATAAAATTCAATTTTGATTTGTTAAGATTGTTTGTTTGCACTTGATTTCGTCAAAAAGTTGTTTGAGAACTTAGAAATCTTGTTTTGGGATTGACACCAGTCTTGGTGGTGTCGACACCGGTTTGGAAAGGTTCGACCCTTGTTTATTGCTGAATCTGAAATTGGCTGTTGAAATTTAGGGTCGACACTAGGGGTTTCAAGGGTCGACCCTTGCTTGCTGCACATATTTTTTGTCTCGGCTTTTCTTCTTGAGCGTCGACACCATTGTTTTAAGGGTCAACTCTTGTGAGTAATTTCCAGATTTTTTGGTCAGTTTGGGCCCTACTTTTTGGGGGTTTTGACTTGTTCTTTTCATTTGACTTTGGGACTATTGTTCTATTAGTGCCTAGCCACTATAAATGGGTTCCAAAACACTTTCCTTTCATTACTTTTCTTTCTCTTTTCCTCTCAAACCATGACTTCATTCTTCTCTCTCTAAATTTAACTTTTTCACACTTAGATCTTTAGATCTACTCACCTAGAGCCATCTTTTCACCTTGGTCCTATGGGAAAGGTTATAGATCTTGTCAAGGGCTTTCTATTGATCTGAGAAGTTCGTGGTTTCGTTGACGTTGGATTTTTTGGGTTTTCTCTTCTACACTTGAGGTAGGGATTTCTTACTCCTTTTCAATACTTCGTCTATAGATAGATATGTGGTAGATTCTTACTACACAAAAACCATGTATATTGGAGTTCTTTTTGAAAAATCATATGGGAGATACCTAGGGTGTGTTACGTGGGGGTGGGAAATCATTATATAAATTGTTGTTTGGGTTCTTTGGGGAGTAGTTTAATATGTTGATGTTGAGAGAGAGAAAAATATCTAATTTAATATTATAGACTTAATGGATTAAAGAGAGAGAAAGTTGAGTAATATTTTGTGCTTAATTATATGGATTGTGTACTTGTGTTAATTGATAAAAGGGTGGATTCACCATGGTATTGGAATTATTCTTGATTAATCATGTTAAATTGAGTTAAGCTATAGCTTTGACATTCATGGATTTGGTTTTCTAAAATAAAGGGAATGGATTTTATTTTGCAAAACAAGGAGAATGGATTTAGTTTTGTAAATTAAAGATGATGGATTTTGGATAAAGATTGGAGTATATTAACTTGAAAAATAAGAAGATTGATTTTTGAAAAGGGAAAGAAACCATGACGATTTGTATTTCAGAAATAAATGTGAAGTCAATTTATGAATATTTTAGTTTTCCATTGTTGTTGTTGGACTTAAAGTCTCATGTGAGTTTGATTATAATCATACGTGTATTAAGTACATGTATTTAGAGGTTTTGTCCTTGGTCATCGGTGAAGGATGGTATCGTGGTGTTGATTAATATCGTATATATAATACACTTGTGTTATTATGCATTCTAGTATGTTGAGATGGTTGGAAATGTTCACGTGCTGAGAATGAGAGGTACCATTACCTCCCAGCTATCGCTTGGAGAATTTGCCACGCTTAGAATAAGAGGTACCAGTACCTTCCAGCTAGCGCCTGGCGAACTTGGCAAAAGTACCATTACCTTCTAACTGGTGTCTGGTAAATTGACATTTCGTTATGGAAAGGTGTATCCTTGGCTTACCATGCTTAAGGCAGGTAGAGCTTTGTTTCGCTTCTCATTTTGTCTCGGTGTATTCTTATCTATTCTGAGTAGGTGATGGTTATGGTTAGGTAAGGCCGAATTGTTCTATGTGATGGTGTAATGATCATTGTACATGTATGGATTTCGTATTCGTGTTAGGACTTATATGTATGTATATAGGCGTATTGGGCGAGTTGTTGAAAGTGTTCCTTGACCATAGACTTAGGGCCGAGGGAATGTGATGAAAGTATCAGAAGTGAACGTATGTTTTGTATGGAACGTACATAATGAGAAGTAATCACGTTTAGCAAAAGCATTTCTAAAACAACCAGTTGTGATGCGTTATTTATAAATGGGAAATGATGAAGAAAAGTGAATTGTTTGTGTTGTTAGGTAAATTGAATGATTTTAAGAGAAGTACCTATATAAGTATATTTTCAGTATGAACCATCACATTATATATATGACATGATATAAAGCATTCATGATCATAGCTATCTGTATGTTGTTATTGTTTAGGATCATGTAAGGATCCCTACTGGATTTTATATTCATCCCACATTGCTAATTCTTTTCAGGTGATGCTAAGAAGTGTTCAAGATCGAGGATCATCCTTAGTTGTTGGCCACGTGGCCTTTTATTTGTGGGCAGAATGCCATTGATGAAAAAGGGTTAAACCCTTTCTTTTAATTTGAAAGATGTAAGCTTACGGACAATTTATTTAATTATAACTCCTATTGCATTTATATTGTATTCGGACAAGGAAATCTTTATTCATGTGTTCTTGTCAATGTAAAGAGTTTCTGTATGTCATCTCTGAAATTGAATCTATAATAATGATTTGGTAATAGAATTCGAGTAATAAAAAGCAGGACGTGACAATCTTTTTCAAGAGTCTTCCCGTTTGTTGATGTACCACCCATTTTTTTCACTCCCTGGTGGGCCGAAGGAATAACCAGTGGACTTACCTGAGTGTGATCTGTACATTCGCTTGGGTTAAAAGCCTCAATGATAGGCTCATTAGCCAAGTCCCTATGTTGTGCGCCATTTAAAACTGCCTCTAAATTTATATTGGGCCACATACTTTCTAGCCCACTAACACTCCTAATAAACCCAGGAGACCAAATCTGACCTTCAACTATTTGAATTCCATTTGTTAAGCTTGACTAGGTTTATAGTGTCCACTCTCTTAATGGATCACTGTTGAAGTCTTCTCAAAAGCCTTGTTTGGCATAAACTAAAAAATTTAAAAAGTCAAAAAGTCACTATCCTATTTAAGTCATATCATCTTATTTAAATCACATTACCTCTCTACCACATCACTTCAAATTCAACCCATACCCAACCCATATTTCATAAATAGTCAAAAAGTGTACTTATTTAAGACATCCCAAACCACCCCTTATAGACTATTATGATATGTCTTCTAATTACAACAGAGTTGAAAGAAATCTTTATAGATTTTATTCAAGGAAGAATATGTAGAGGTGCCTTATCATTGTGATTGCAAAGTGATTGCATTGCATGGTTGAAATGCTAAGACATAAAATGTACTGAGAAATAATGTAATTGTGTTTCGCAACGGTAATTCAAGCTTAAGATTAAATTAAACATGTCGATCCAACAAACCTACCAGGATTTAGTTAATGAACATTGAGTTTTGTACTTGCATCATTTGCCTTAAAAAGACTGTAGTACTGCTTTGAAACATCATGGCCCATGGATATGAAGAAGAAAGGGAGGAGGACATAAAACATAATTGTTTTGTTAACTATTCATTCGCATTGCGATATGTACAACTTTTAGGGGAGAAAGATAACTTATCCCTTATGAAATAAAAGTTCAAAAAATCTATGTGTCCTAAAAATAATTAGCGTACGGTGTACGTTCAAACTTAATATAAGCCACACTTATAATAAATTTGGTCTACACATTTTATTTTCGGGATACATTTTTGAGTGTATAGTATTACTAGTATTATTGATAACTTTGTTTTTTTCCCCTATTGCATGAAACACATCTTCTACTAGCCCCGAAATGAATTATTAGTGGAAATAAAGTGTCAATGTATTGTGTTTATTATAAAACCCAATGTCTGCTAAAATAGGCAATTAACATTTTAGCAATTTTGAATAATTTGAAAAAACTGTTATTAGATGAGATAATTATTAGATTTAAAAGGCATTATTAGAAAATTCAAAAAGTGTTACAGTCTACACTAAAAGAGGTGTAGACTTATATAATAAAAAATAGAATATATAGATGACAATTATTTATGGTTATTCTTTTGCATGTGCAAGTGAATTTTCTCTCTTTCATGTTTCCACATTTTTACGAAAACTACTTATAGTTTCTTCAATTAGATTCCCTTGAAAATAGCACTGAAGCAAAGTGTCTCATAAATTGAAATATAAAGCTTAAACATTAGTACATTAATTTCTTTTCAACCAATCTTGGCAAGAACATCTTTGAGGGTAGATACAGCCACTGCATAGTACTTCTCTGCTTCAGAAGGACTCTTAATCTTTACTGCATGGTCCAGCTGTTGAGTGAAAAGATAAAATTAAATATTAAAACAGTGTATGTTATAGTGAGTCAAAATTTTTATCTAATGATACTAGTCCTTCTGAATAAATATACATGAATAAATAAAATTTTATAAGATTTATTAGTAAGTCCCACTTCTATAAATTCATGTTGGTCCATATACATTGTGTTTTGGTTCTACGACTTGTTTCTATGTCCCTAATGTTATTATTTATGTAATAGTTCTACTTTGAACGCAAAAACTAAATATAATAAAAACATAACACATGAATGAATAAGATTTTATAAGATTTATTAGTAATGCAACTTCTGAAAAATCTATATACATTATGGTTTTAGTTGCGCATCCATTCTTGACTTATTATTATGTAAATTCTATTACCAACATAGAAACCAAACACAAAAATAAACTCAATAAATCTGCAAGGGATCTCTAAGTTCCTAAAATTATTCTTTATATGATAGTTCTACCACCAACACCGAAACCATCAACGTAGATAAACACATGAATGAACAAGATTCTATATATTGAGATTAAATTTTGTGTTTGCGTGAGAGAGGGAGAGAGAGTTTTTACTGACATTGTTGAGGTCCTGGAAGAGTTTTCCAGTGAGATCTTTGAGAGGCTTCTTTTGTTCTTTGGGCTTTGCAGCAATAACAGTGTTAAGATCATATCGAAGGTACCCTGCCTTGAGACGAAGATCGTTTTGGACATAAGGCCAAGCCTTCTTATCTATAAACCCTTTCACATTAAAAATGTCTTTTGCAGACTCCTTTGCCCTCTCTGCTGCTGCAGTTGCAGACAATGGTTGGATGAAAAATCGTTCCTTCAATGGAAGATCAGTGTCTCTTGCCTCATCAGCGTTCAATGTTCCAGCTGCCAAAATCCAAATGTATCAAACCCCAAGTCATTCATTAAGATAATAATAATAATGTGCTCCACATTTGCAATTGAGGGTCACTATGTATTATTTTCAGATGAATTTCATTGTATTTTCTCATATGTTATGTTAGATTTACACAATAGACGTCGTGTGTATATGTAGGATCCATCGTATTTTTCAAAATAATGATGGATCCCCTTACATGTTATTTCTTGCGTAGATCACATAGAAAGTAAAAAAAAAATACGATGAAATTAATGAGACTGCATATATCATTTTCATGATAATTAGAAATCTATAATAGATTCCACGAGAAGTTTGTCCTGCCAATGTTGATTGTTCTATGTTTGAAAGGCTACTTCTAGAGGTCCTCAATTTGATATAGAGCAATAGGGACTAGAGGCTGCATTTGGGAGTTGTAGTGATACATGTATCGATTTTCTGATAAGATGGTTACATATTACAACTATAATTTTACACTAAATGTGGCAAGATATTGGAACTAAATTCCTGTCCAACTCTATCATACAAGTTGTCTTCTATTTTGATCTTGTGGTAGAGAAAGGATTTAGGCCAAGTTTGGCAAGACTAAATAAGTGCACTTTTTGTTTTTTTAGACTAAAAAGTTGAGGTTGAAAATATGAATGTTTGCGTTAACTTTTTGACTTTTTATGGAAAAATGTGTAAAAAAAAATTGTAAAAATTGATTTGTAGGAGAAAATTAAAATTGGGAGTTGTGCAGCCGTAATTGTTGACTTTTGGTGAATAGTGATAACTTTTTAACTTTTTGAGTAACTTTTTGGCTTTTTGACTTTTTGGGGTGTTCCCAAACTTGGCCTTAATATAGATGGCATAAAAGAATGAGATAGAAAATTCTCAATGAGACATATCCATCCATGTAGTTAAGAGTATGAAGAAAAACATGGCCGAATTGGGTCCATTTTGGTACATACCCCTATATTATATATTTATAGACAATGAAACTTGCATTAATGTATTGAATTTCATCAAATTTTTTATTTTTATTTTTATTTTTAACATATATTTACATAGTAAATGCTATGTGTCTATATAAAATCAATTATAGTAAAAAAATAATAATAGAAATCCAGAATTTTATGGTAATTCTAACATGTATACATAAATAAATAAACAGAAAAAAAACATTTGGAACTTGGAGTAAAAACTAATCAGAGAGTACAAAACATGTTTACATGTCTTGATTGTATTGGAAGTCAACAAAGACTTGCTAAAATTGCAGTTTCAATATAAGAGCAACAGTCCTTTTAACCTGAGAATTGAAAAGTGATGAATCACATTAATTTGATGAACAACATGTAGGTTATGTCATAATCACGAATTCAAATACAAATTTGGAAAGAAAAATTTGAAAGTAAAAAGAACGAGAAAAAAAATTTAACTTACATTTTATTTATATTTCCGTTACATTTTTTTTTAATTTAAATTTCTACTTAAATTTATGATCCAAACAACTGTAAAAAAAGTTTGAAAACTTACGCAATCCACCGGAGGGTGGAGGCGGTGGGCCGACCTTGATGGATTTGGCTTCGGCGAGCACAGCTTGAACAAGAGACCCAGAGGCTAGCCCTGCAGCCACTAGACCCAGCATCGTCCGGCGACTAGTCTCGGTCTCAGCTGACCCCTGTTGGGCCCTAATAGTGTAACCCGGTCGAGCCACAGCAACCCGGCTGCCACTGGTGGCTCCGGTCAAGCGGGTCGAGCTGTTGAGATGGAGGCTGCCTTCCAAAACAGCCTGGGAGGAGGAGCCACGTAAGCCAGCCATTGAAGCCATAGCTTGAGCCATTCCACTGATTTTCCAAATGTTTCAGGCAAGTGAGTGATGAGAGAGAATAATATGTGGAATAGAAGACCTTTGTTGGGGTTATGTAAATGTGGATGATGTTTATGTTATCCAAGTTTTGGTTTTTTCCATTGTTTCTGTGATGTAGGGTGCCATCTTATCTGCTCTTGCCTTCTTTTGGATAATTTGGAAATGCTTATAGCCAATTGGTGTTTGACATGTGGATAATGTTTTTGACAAGTTGGATTAGGTTTTCTTTTTTGTACTGTGAGGTATTGACACGTGCACATCAAAAGATTTTTATTATAACTTTCAATGAACAAAGTTTTCTGATCTAATCATGCTTATCACTTTGTGTGGTAGTTTTCAAAAAAACAGATTTTTGAGTTTTTGATTTGTATTTTTGTGTTTTTAATGATTTTTTAGGGTAATTTATAAATTCATCACTGAGGTGTGTTTAAATTACAAATTACATTTTTGTTATTTGGAAAATTATAAATATCTCATTATTAGTATTTTTTATTTAACAGAATTAACTAAATAAATAAAATTTAATTGCTCACCTACACAATAATAAAATTACCTAAATTATTAATTGAAACTGTGGAGATATATTTTCTGAATACCAACACGTGGCATGGTGACGCCGACGTGTCAGCCGAGGTGCCACGTGTCGTCATAGTTAAGCCGAGATGATCTCGGAATTGCCGAGGTTATCCCCGAAGATATCGGAATCCGAGATAAGCAGATAAGGGATAAGAGTCCTAAGACAAAAAGGGGACTTAACCAAGATAAAACTCTTAAGGGAGTTTATCTTTATCTCTTAAAGAGTCCAAAGTAAGCACTAAATTGGAGTTCATAGAAGTCATACTTCTAGTGGGACTTGGGTTGAGTATATTATAAAAGAGAGGCACCCCCGTGGGTCTAAGGTATGCAATTTATGTTTTGAGTATTAAGTTTTGCACTTGATTATCTTTGAGAGATATACTGACTTGATCGTCGGAGTGCCCCCGGGTGGAAGAACCACCGCCGAACCTTTTCTTTCTGTTTCAGGTTGCTGAAGCCATCTATTCTGCCTGTTGCTCTCCAGTTGATCACTAAGCAAGCAGTTGGTCAGATTTCACCGCACACAATTTTGGCGCGCTGTAGTGGGAACAAGGAAGAATAGATGCAGTAACGGACAGCAGGAAGAATATGGGGATTGACGCCTCCCGCTGGGAGTGGGCAGACCAATTGACACTTGACAATTTGAAGGAGATAACCACAATACAGAAGCCCGTAACCAGGGTTCACAGAGAGAAAAGACGTTCATCCAGGAAGCAACACGTCAAAAAGAACAGACCAAGAACAGTACTACAATTGAAGATAACCTCCAGGTACTGGAAGGACAGGATGCTACGGAGGGATGAATGAAGTAAAAAAGAATTGGATAATGTTTGACATGTGGATTAGGGGTTTGATTTTTGTACTGTTGAGGTATTGACACGGTGTACATCATAAAAGATTTTTATTTATAAACTTTCAATGAACAAGGTTTTCTGATCTATCATGCTTATCACTTTTTGTGGTAGTTTTCAAAAAAAACAGATTTTTGAGTTTTTGATTTGTATTTTTGTGTTTTTAATATTTTTAACGGTAAATTATAAAAGTATCACATGAGGTGTGTTTAATATTACAAATTACGTTTTTGTTATTTTGGGAAAATTATAAAGGTATTCTCATTATTAGTATTTTTTAATTTAACAGAATTAACTAAACAAATAAAATCAATTGCTCACCTATATAATAGATAAAAGTTACCTAAGATATTAATTGAAACATATTTATAACATCGGGTAAAACTGTTAATTGACTTATGATTTATTAATTAAAAAGAGTTATTGAAATTAAACCGAGGAGGTGGAATGTAATTTCCCAAAACCACAAGGGCGATTCGCATTAATTTACTTTTTTTTTAAATAGTTGAATTAATTTTTAAATTCATTTAATCTTAACATACTTAAAAAAGTAAAAAAAATTGTTTTAAAAGTTCTTTAAAAAATTCATATGAATACAACAAATATGAAAATGCATTTATTTTTATATTTTTTGTATTTGATGAATTTAAAAAAAAAAATTATAAATATTATACCTTTTAAACTATTTAGATGAAATATATCTAAAAAGTAAAAAATTTATATAAAAGATTAAGAATCACTTAAAAATAAAAAATAAAAATAACAAAAAAAAAAAGTTTTAATTTCCTGGAAAAGTGACCTCAATATTTTAGAACCAAATATGGCGAATACTTTTTTTTGTGCAACATAACTTAAACAAAAATTACAATTAGAAAGAAGAAAGTCAAAGAGGGCCCTTTCTTAGATTTTCAAATAATTGAATTTGTATCGATAAAAAAACAATAATTAATTTATAAAAATTATAATATATATATATATATTTAAATATTTGTACTTAATAAACTACGCAATGGTAATTATCTAATAGTCCTATTTATAAATGTTAATGGTAAGCTTCCAGTTCTTATTTAAGATTTTTTATAACCAATAAATGCATATTAGTAAACTGAGAATTATTATCAATTTTTTTTTTAATTTTTAAAAACAAGAAAAATATCAATTTTTTGTTTTAGTAATGTTCCAGATAATTATTCTTTACTAACTGATAAAAAAAAGAGCATGAGATAAAAAAGTTTTTGACTCCCGTTCTGTGTACTATTTGGCTCATTTTTGATTTCCAATTATCCTATAAAACTCTCCCCGATTAACATCTAACAGTTTTTTCGCAATTTTAAAACTAAGGCCTCGTTTGGAACATGTAATTTAGGTAACTTTTGACTATTTGGCTTAAATAGAGCTAAAAATAAAACTAGTATATTGGGGATGACTTTTGGACTTTTTACGAAAAGATGTCCAAAAATAGAGAGAAAGAAATCCATTTGACTTTTTTGTGTTAACCCTGTCCCCTATTATGCTAATTGGCCCGTAATACGAGTATGATTATGTGTTTGATATGATTTTGTGTGCTCATTATGTGAAAACTATGTGGTTTTGAATTTCTATCTGTTTCACTAGGAATATTCTATTCGTTATCTGCTTGGAAATAAATAAGGCGCCTATCGCCACAAAAATCGAAATTGACTGCGCCATTGTGATTGCGCATAATTTTTTAGAGCTTAAGATTAAATCTGATTAAATTAATGGATTAAAGTGCCCAAATACCTTATATTAAAATATTGTGTTGAGTCGAGGATTATAGTGGGCCACTTTCACTCAATTTCTTCTTTTAATTCTCATTTGGCTGAGAAGAACTCTAAGGAAAGGGAGGAGAGGGTCGGCTATAGGAGAGAAAGGGGAGAATTGTGCCAATTTTGGTTCAAGACTTGACCTCTTGAAGATTAACTCAAGAGTTTGCTATAGTTTGGAGAATTAAGCCTCTAAGTGAGTAAATTTATGGATCCTAGTTGCTAAATTTGTTGGAATTCAAGTTTGAATTAATGGTCGAAGAGCATGGATTAAACTTGATATGAGGAAATTGATGTTGGATTTTGTGTTTATTTGAAGCAAAGATGCATGCATGTAGAAAATTGCTATTAAGTTCCCATGTTGGGCATAAAAGTGAATTCATGTGAAGCTGTATTTGAAATCCATGTGTTTGATTATCTGTTCACCAATTAAGTTGATAATATATGTATCTCCCACATGCAAGCAGTAAGATCATGAACAGTGTAAGCTTTGCATGTTTGAATTTGAATGTGTTGTGATGAATTTGGGATTAATTTGGACATGCATGTAAGTAATACAAGAAATTGAGCCTTCATATTGTGTTGTCAATTTAATGTTGGGTACGTAATGATAGCACCACCACTACTTTGAAGTTTGAGTCTATTATATGCAAGAAATGGTTGGTGGAATGTCAAGTTGAAAGCTCAAAGAACTTAGCTGGAAAACCCAGAAAATTTTCGGTGTCCGCTCGGTGGGGAAACCGCCGCCTCGAGCGTGAAATACGGGCTCCCCAGCATTACTTTGAGACATGCTCCGCTCGAGACGAGGAAGTTCACGCTCGAGCGGGACCATGTAGAGAGGCCTTCCACTCAGAGCGTAAATTTGATGCATCCCCAGTACTTTTGCAGGCCTCTTGGCTCCGCTCGAGCGGGAAAGTCACGCTCGACGGACCCTGTTTTTCTGAAACTTTGTTTATGCTGTTCTGTGTTTCGTTTTCCGGATCCTCTTTCACTGTAAGTACTTTAGCATGCATTGAGCATTGAAAATGAGATTAAAAGATAAGAATGAAGCCTAAAGAGGAATATGTGAACTTAAGAACAGATTGAATTGTTGTGACCATTTTGTGTTCATGGAATGTGGTAGGGTCGAGCTCCAGGGCAACCAATCAACCGATCACTGTAAGTAATATCTTAACAAAGATATCTGAAATATTGTTATTGTCCAAATTACTTACTCCTATGTAAGTTTTATAAGTTCAAATTGAATGATAGAATTGAATGAGCCAAAGGTCGTTTTGACGAAGAATTGAGTGAATGGCCAGAGGCCGTATTTTGACAAGAATGAGTGAATTGGCTAGAGGCCGTTTTTAACAAGGAATGATTGAATGGGCCAAGAGGCCGTTTTACATAAATGAATAGCGCTAAAGAGGCCGGTTTTCTTGACTACGAACATGAACGAATGGGCCAGAGGTTCGCCCCCCCATATTCAACATGCAATAAATCGACATGGATGCCGTTGCCACGCAGCGTGTTGACAGTTAATAAATGACATGGCATGGCAGAGGCCCGTTTTTAGACATGAATTGAATGGGCCAGAGCCTGTTTTTTGATACGAAAGATATAAATGGGGCCAAAAAAGGCAACTTGATACAGAATGACTGAATAGGCGGAAGGCCAGTTTGACATGATTGAAAGTTTGAATGGGCCGAAGGCCATTTGAAATGGGAACAGTTAATAGACCAAATGCCAAGTTT